TAACGTAGTCGAAATTAGAAGGTCAAAGAGTTAATCTACCCTTTTTATCCAAGTATTTGAAACGATGTGCTATTGACCCCCTATGGTCAACCATAATTGTCACTTATCCACCTAAATATCAAAATGTTTCTATTACTGGCATGATCCGAGAGCCTGAGACTAGTCTCACCGTCGATTTCGACGAGGTCCACCGTGAAAAGGTTGCGCAGGGGCCGTGATTAAGATTATAGTGAGAGTTGACTTGTGCCGCATATACTACATTTCGCCCCATCCGGGCTCGCTGCCATGACCAAGTCCAGTAGACCAGAGGCTGGAGAGAGCGCAGGTTGGTGACCCGGATTGTGTCACTTCTAAGCGGTCTGCCATACCTGACTCGAATCCGACGGAGCGGGAGTGCCATAGAGTCCAAATTAAGAAGGCGTCATTGTAGCCTGACTGTCAGTCCACCGGTCGGCTAATCCACACAGGAAAAAAGAAACACTCGGCTGCATGCAAGGTCCGAGTTTCCCTGTTATTTGGCAACCTTCCCAGTCACGGCTTTTAGCGCGCGTCGGACTGTTTTTAGTGAGGAAAATGCGCTGAGTCGTCGACCTCACTCTCTAGTCCCATGCCTAATAACCAACTGAAAACAAATATTTAAGTTTAGAGGTTTCAGGTTGCTGCAGAAGAAAGCACTTATGCGTACGCAAACAGCCATTACGTTCTGACTTGCAAGACTAATTACCAAATGGGTCAGAAAAATACGCCAGCAGAACTGCCATCATCTGGTTCTCGGTTCACGTCATCAGTACAAACCATTCGGTGTGTAGATGGATAAGTAATAGTCTTTTTTGGCCATGGACAGTCAATGACAGGTATCTTAAAGTGTATTGAAGACTCCTTTGTCTGCTATCAGCAAACAGGCGCCAGAAGCTTCCCGTTGTTCAGCTAAGTTCAGTTTTATTATAAGGGAAGCTGAGTGAACGTCTTTGAATTTCCCGTTGGTTACATAATGTTTGCCAATTTCTTGCGATTTCAGTAGTTCACGTCCTTGGCCCGAAATAAACCTCCGCTTTAAGGAGGGATGGAACGTAGACGGTTAAAAAGGTCGAACATGTAGTAACCCTGTAGCGCTCTCGACCGCCTTACACTCCACGCCATGCATGAGGTCGCATGAAAGCTTGCCTCGCGTGGCGGCCACTAACACGCGCGCACGCTTAAACTGACCCCAATCCGTGTGGCGAATCACTTTAAAGGCTGACTCACACAATATTCACTTTGTGGACGCTGTGGCGATTGCCAGACTAAGACACT